GTGATATCTAAAAATAGAATAACCAATAAAAATTTTTGATAATCATAATAAAAAATTTATATCGATGTGTTATATGCATTAACAAATTTAATATCAATAGAACTTTTTCAATGACTAGTAAATGCCAACTTTGCCAAGAAATCTTTTTTAATCGAAAAGAGCTTGTAATTCATGAAAGAATTAAGCATCGAAATAACAAAATTATACCTCACCGTTATTCACTTATTCAACCTTCTCTTGAGCAAATCATGTTTTATCAGGATGCATTTATAGTTCTTATCAAAAAATGTCTTGGCTTTAATAGGCATTCAATCGGCACAAAACAAGTTTCTATTAACGCTTTTCCAGAAAATATATTTGTTTACCTTTTTGAAAATGAGCCTTCTTTCCGATATAGTCCTGTGCAACGAAAATATTTTTGTTTATTTCAGGGTGAGGTCGGAGAACAAAGGTTAAAACAATTGGTTAATTATGATTATTGGAATGTTCGACAGGATCCAAAATTAAAAACTATAGGTTATGTTCTATTTATGGATAATGAGAGTTCTTATAAAGTTACCTTTAGTTGGTCGCAAACAGAGCTAAAAGAGAATGATCGTATCTTTCAATGTGGAACTGCTTCTTGTAAATTTGTAGCAGATTTTGGAGAATTTTCTGAACTGTAAGAATTAAAAGATTACGTAGTCATTTTGTTAGCAGAAATTCTATAAGATATAATGTTATTTATTTTTTGTTTCATAATAATAAGGCCTACCGTAACCCAAACGAATCAAGTTACTCCACAACAAGCACTAAATCTGCCGCAAATTCATGATGTTGATTCAAGCAAGAACATTTTAAATAATATATCTTCTCAAAGAAGTTATAGGTTTATATTACCACGCGTGCCTTTTCAACAACTTAATAAATAAGCCATTAAGGTAAATATATTTAAACGAATATGATATTTATTTGATTTTTGATTCTAATGAAAATATTAAATTATATAACTAGCAGTTGGTATAGTCGATAAAAGAGAATTAACTACATAGATTATTTTTTTTTTTGTGTTAAATACCAAATAAAAAAAGATTATCTGAACGTTGTAACTAAATATATTTTAAAAATTTGCCGATATGGTGATTTTTAAAATGAGCACATTTATTATAATGAATCTGCTAAAAAAAAAAAAAAAAAAAGCTAAAGCTATATTTAGTGTTATTTAAATAGAATTCACATAGAAAAGGATGAATCGCTATCGAAATTGAAAGATTATTATAAGGCATTCATTTATTATCGAAAATTTGCCAATATGGGAGACGTTGATGGAACATACAATATATTTTAAAGAATTCATATATTTTTTAAAGATAGGTAATTCTAATAGATAATATTATCTAAACGATTTTGTTTATACTATAGATAGTTATTTATTAAATAAATATCTTTTTATCTATAGGTTATCGGATAACACTTAACTAGATCAAATCTTCTACACATACTTAATTATTAACAAAAAAATATTCAGCACCTAATTTTATATATAATTATATACTTCTAGATAATTTATTTTAGTTTTATATATTCTTGGACTTGGACTTGAACGTTTGACATTGTAAAAAAGCTGTGAATATAGTAACGTGACATTACTGCATATAAGTACCTGACTCAAAAATAAATTATAAATTATTTGAGTGAGGCGCCAAAAGTTGGTAGTCACGTGATTTTTATTCATAAGATCATTGCATAACATACAAAATGAGAAGTAAAAATAAAATAAAATAAAGGCAAAAAAAAAAAAAAAAAACCAAAAATCACAAAAAAAACCATAAATCCGCAAAGACAATTAGTCTTTTGTTATTAAGAAATTTTCAGCACAAAAATTTAGATGAAATTAGGTTATCATTACTGTTGAATAGTCACAAGACCGCCAAATTTTTGCGCTATCACTATTTCACTCAA